TAGGGAAAAAAGGGGGAGAAGGTAAAGCAGTATACATTTGGGATGAGAGAAATAATTTGGTCTAAAAAAATTCCCAAATGCTCCACTAAAGTCAAAAATTCCTTTTGCAGTATTAGTTTTCCTCTTAAGGTAAAGACCTAAAATTATCATTCTCAGTACTGTAAAAATTCTTTCATGAACCTCAAATAAGTGAAATAAAGAGAAGAAAAAGCAGCAGGAGAAGAATAAAATAACAGATGATAGGACCTTGCAGAGTTAAATCTATAGTGTACAAACGATTGATAGCAAAGAAGAGAAAATCAGAAACACCAAAAACCATATGAGTGCAGCAAATTATTCACTTTGTAATTATAAACAAGGATAGTTTATGATTTTGATTATACAAGCATTATAATTACTGATAATTGGGCCTTAGCTTTTAAGTGCGTTTTTCCAACATGAGATCATGTACCTGGATATGTAGAAATCAAAACCTGAAAAACAAGTGATATGAGTACAGAGGAGATTGTAATTTCAATTTTTATCTCAATAATCTTGATACTCTTTGGTACTGTGAGCTGTTGTGGTAAGAAATCTACCTGGTAGGATGCATCAGTGATGTCATTGCACTGAAAGAGCCTACACAGTGGTATATAACGGTGTTATGCTGTGATGGCAAGCTTTTTTCTCAATGTTGTGAGGCACTTTAAGAAAATGAGAAACATCCAGGATAGTAAGTGCCAAGAATAGGAAGATACATTTTTCTAGTTTCTTAAAAATCACATTCAATTATTTTTTTATCATGCATAAGAAAGACTCATATTAACAAGAAATCTAGAATATAAGCACCTTCCTTATCCAGAGAACCAAGCTTACAGTCCCTTATTTGTAAAGATGAGTGGTCATGGCCAAAAGTATATACTGTTGGCTCCAGGAATATGGCCATTCCCGCAAACCACAAGTAGATAAAACCAGATGCAGCATGGGTGAATTTGTGAGGGATGTAAGACATCAGAAGTGCCCCATCTGAAAGACAGCTAAGGAGAACAATATTCTAAGGATGACTCCCCCTAGAGGGTGTGGACAAAATGGCACTTGTTCTTTCTATAGGACAATGGACAGAAAGGAGAACCAGGATATGGATGTTCAGGGAAACTTGAAAAATGAGTTAGGGTGTAGGGGAAGTTGCACTGAATGATGAAAATAAATATATACTGCATAGACGAACCAAATCACTTGTATCTTATAACATTTAAAAAATTTTTTGGGTAGCTTGGGATAATCCTATAAATGGGAATCACTATAATTCTGAACATGATGTTTCATAGTAAGTATTTTTCATTTTTGAGTCACAATAAGTAACAACCAATGGGAATTACCTATCCATAAAGAAAATAACGTTTTTCTTCTAAATCCAACCTCAGGGAAAATATATTAGGCCCAAGCCACATAAATACGTTATTATTTTTATGAAAAAAAGTCACATTAAAACAATTAAGGCTATTATATAATCATTACCATTATTTGGGCTAATCTGCATTGGCTAGAAAAGCAGGCAACTTAAAATTATATATTCAGGTTATAGCAAATGCAGTTCCTAATAAACACGAAATAAATCATAATATAAATTGCAGTTCAACCTAGCTGGTATCTATATTTTATCTTCCTCTGCTTCTGTAGCTTATGGGAGGAGGCAGCATGGAACACCTGAGGGGTTCTTTCTGCTTTTAAATAAACCTGAGTTTTACTGCTGGTTCTGTCACACACTACCTTTGATTAACTTGCTGAACTTCTTAGCATGTCTGTTTTTTTTTGGTTTCACTCGTCTATTATACGAGGCCAATAGCCTCTACCTAAGATGTGGGTTGAATATTAAAAGGTATTATGTAGGCAAAACGCATGATATATGAATATTAGCTCCCTTCCCACTTTGCATCCTTTCTCCCTATTAAATTGAGCCTAACAATCATGATTTTTTATTTTGATTTATTAAAAGTCTGCAACATTATACATATGAGAGGGTTTTTTTTTTTTTTTTTAAAAAGGGTACTTTTGGATGGAAAATAAGTTTCAACTAACTGATTAAGGATAGCTCTACATTTTATAACATTAATAGAAAAACTTACATTTACATCTTGTGGTCTTTTTTCTGTATCCTTAATTGTCAGATGCAGCCAGAAAAGGATGAGTAAGAAATATGTAGATTTTAAAGTGCACATTCAAATATATCAAACCTAATTATTTTACTCATTTCCTAGTGTCCAGTGTGTGTGGGGGGGAGATGAAGTTGTTGGAACTCGGTACTAAAGAAGTGAAACTTACGAGCCATGTGAATTTACATTGAGAAAATATGTTTTCCAACGTGAAATACACTAGAGGCTGACCCACTGCTTCTTAAATGTGTGCTGATTGGATCCAAAAAGGATCAGGAAAAATCGTGGGGATAGGTCAGGATAAGTCTATATCGAATATTCCATTCATAAATTACTGAAGGCATATTTAAGGTTAAACGGTGAAAAATGAGGGATGCTCAGTTATCACAAATGGAAAAATACTTAAACTAGCCAGTGAACGTGAACTATTTTGGTACTCTGGTTTATGATAACCATCCTTCTGTACAATTCCATAATGGGGATATGCGATTAAATGGGACTAAAAGGGATTTTAATGGTGTACTGACTTTGCTTCATGATACCTTGAACATCTAAAACCTGTCATTCCCTAGGGGAAGAAATATATTTTGCACTAATCGTCGCAGACACAGAAGCCAACTATGTTTCCTCTTTCATTTATATGACTATACAATAAAGAATGTTCTAGGTTGATATTCTCATCTCAATCTTTGAAAGATTCTATTAAAGCAACAAATATTCTAACAAGTTCAAGGGAGTGGGGAGAGTGAACAACCAGAAAAATTTATTTTACCCTGGAACAATTCTGAAGCCTGTATGTGAGTTTACGTCCCTGTTTCAAGTATGTTCTGATTTAATTTTCAACATTTATATAGGAGAATTAATATTGTGCATATTTGTAACTTGCAGTGTTACTGCTACGTATGACTGTCTAACCACATCATGTGCTTCAAATGTGTAATTTGACCTTCCTTCCTTTCTTTTTTAATGATTTAATAGAATCAGTGCTATAAATGCAAGGTTGATGACTATGACCAAAGAGCAACAGAACAAATACAAACTGGTGGTGACTTGACAAGAAACTCATCAGTAAATAAACCTCCTTCCATGGAGAAAGCCACTGGAGTGCACCCACCAGCTTTCTCACCAGCAGGTGATCAAAAGGACTATAGCCTTAGGCCTAAAACTCCTCGACCATACTTGGCTGTTTATGTCCCCCTGGGGTCTGATATCTGTATTAGTTGAAACACACATCTTTAGGGAATTCAAGACATTTTTTTGGAAATGTTCAGGACTGGAGAGCTACTACACAATTTATGATGTCACATTTCTTATGACGAGTCAGAATTGAATACAAAAGTGCTAATAATATAAACATAGCTCGGTCAAGACTCAAGATTGGCTGAAACCAAATTAAAAACAGCCATATACTGCCACATTTTCCCTGACTTATTTACCCATGGTTTGGCACATATTGTTTCACTTACATTTGAAAAATATAAATACCTCTTCGTATGCAAAAAAGTGAATATTAAATGAAATATGGAATTTTACAGAGCTTCCTAACTACAAGCCACATGTTTAAACAGTGCGTAAATTTCACATATCAAATCCTTAATGTTATCACAAAAGCTTGGTACTCAGGTTGCAAAGGAACGTCCTGTTGACAGTTTGAGTGACATTACTTCAATAATCAAGGACAGAACACTTTTTGTTAATCACGATCTCAATTTAAACTTCAGATTTGTAGATGCAAATATTTATAACTTTAACCATAATTCTTAACCATAATTAACCATAACCACAACTTCTTTCTTGTTTAAAAGTACTTTATCACTCGAAATGGTATTTATAGTTCTGATTGCGCAGAACTATCATATGCCTCTGTTTTCAAGAGTGATTCAATTCCCAGAGATGTTTTCACATAGTTACGAAAATGAGAAACTGCTAAGTTAACCTGGGTTGCAGCATTGCAAGCTTCATGTTATCGTGTTATACATTTTACCTACACTTCACAAGTGTATACCAAGTCACATACACCCTCCAGTTCTAGAAGCCTTGTCAACAGTCTCTTGGTTTAGTTGGGTTCACAGGCAGTAGGAAATCTAATCAGTTTAGAGGGTGGAATTTTCAAGTGCTGCCATTCGTATAATATGAGGCATCTCCAGTGGCTGAGTCAAAAGCCTGTTCGTGTTTCTGTTTCTTGCTTCTGCATTTTGGGGAAGGGAGGGAAATGAGAGAGCTTAGAGGGCTCATTATAAGCAACTCCCATTTAGTTTTACTCTAATGGATTACTCTTAACAGTAACCCTCTAATCATGGCTGTGTGCTGGGAAAAACAAGAATGTGGCCAATTTGTAAGCCTGTCGACCAGGATTCCGGTTGATTCCACTTTGATGTCTCAGTATGAGAATGAGACTGGATTGAGTTCTGGTTAAAAGAAATCCCTGGTTATTATTTTCTGGAATGCTAACTAAAATCCTTTAAAAATCAATGAACATAACTCATTGCTAGGAGTCATTTAGGCTTTTAATTTGATTTACATATTAGGTAAGAATTCTGAAAATTATTTGAGAGTTCTATTCTCTAGCACCAGGTACTAATATCCCTTCTCAAAGAAGTCGTGTGCGTGGATGAATCAAATCTACCAGTGCTCAGAAATAATGGTTTAAAATGGAGTGGTTGTTTTTTCAAATTTATTTTATATACGCAAATGCCTTTTTTTTTTACAGCAGTTAGTTGCATTTTCAAATTAAGATCACCCTCATCTTCACCCATGTTCTTATCTTTAAAATCCACATTGTAAAGCAGAATGCAGATATAATACATTTCTTCTTTTCTCGATGGATTTTTTTTTTACTTAAAAAAAAATCCATCGAGTTTTTTTTTAAGTAAAAAAAAAAAGCACGGTGATAATATTTTTTTGGAACTTATTTGTCTTTTGTTCTCCAGATACTCTGTGTGCACATGCAGAAGTATGTGATGGTGTGTGTGTGTGTGTATGCGTGGGCACACGAGGGGAAAATTCATTTTCCTTTAATCCATTTTACACTTTAATATCAAATAAAAAATGAAATGTGGAGAGGATATTCCTATACAGTTAAACACACTCCTTCTAACTACTTAAACCAGGGGTTTGGGATTCAGTCTCTATAACCAAGACTGGAAGTCACTGGAAGACTTTAAAGTTATTTTAACCACCACAACCACAGGCATCTACGGAAATAAACCCATTGCATGGATTCTTTATATGCATAATCTCAACATTTAACTGCCCAAATAAGTTTTAAAAAACAAACATTTGAAATTTGCCATTGAGGAAAATCTCATTTCCATCCTTAATTATGACTCCTCATTTCAACTAAAAACCTTTCCAATATTTTGAAAAAAAAAATGCTCCTAAGAAAGTCATAAACACTGAAGTCAGAGATGTGATTCTTGTTAAATATTAGTTTCTCTTTCTGAGGGATGACCTTCTGTGCTCGTACTTTCGACATTAACATCGCAATGTTTAGGTTTGTTCAAGGGCTCCGATTCTCTGGACTCAGGTTTACACATTTTCTTCTTTTTTGCGTCTTCTAACTTCTTTTCCTTTGCAAGCAATCGATAGTTTATAGCATTGCCAATGAGCAGCCACACACTAGATAGCAACACAATGGCACCACAGGCTATGTACATGTATTTATATTGTCCAGTTTCATCCACCAATTTACCTAAGAGAAAAAGAATATATTTTAAGATAGCATAATAAAACAGCCATAAAATGATAAAATTTTCAAGTAAATTCTTTCCCAAAGTGTGTACCTATTTCTTATTTAAGTTAATATTGAGACTTTAATGAAGAAAATAATATTTTAGGTTATGACTTTTATAGATGCATAGTAAAGGCATGTATAGGCACATACAGCACTACATTACCAGTATATCAAATTTATTGAAAATTATTTCCCTCAATAAAAATATACAACCAAGACAAAGTAAATATATACGTTTGTGCATATATTAATAAATATACATGTGTGAGTACATTTTTATCTCTATACAGATAGAAATAGATATATTTATCTATTTATTTACAGCATATACATTGAGATTACTTTATCTTTCCATGCTTCGTATCTTTTCAATAAAGAGGGAAAAATTACATTCATTAGAAAAGACACAAAGCCTTTATAAGGTTCCTGGCAGGGCATAATATTTATTAAATGCTTTCTCTATGCCCAGCACTAGGTTAAACACTTTCTCTGTAAGATCTTTTAATCCTTACAAGAGCACTATGAAGTCATTGGACCATGATTACATGGCTAGTGAGGGGCAGAATCTGATCTCTAACCAAGGTCTGTGCGAATCTCATACTCTTGACCTCTCTGCAAAATGGCTTAACCAAATCTCTCGGTTAAGTGTCATGTCACTTTTTGGGCTAATCATGGGTTTTTCCTTACCTGAATCTAAATTAATAAGGCAAAACTAATCAGGAAGAAAGTTATTTGTTCCATTTGATTATTGAGAACATTTAAAAACTAGCCTGGTTCTATATAATCTGAAGGTTTATTGACTTTGAAAAATGTTTAAGTTTATACTCAATTTTGCCTTTTGCTTATGCAGGTACCTAAATCTTAATAATTATTATCAACAAAATTTAGTGTACACAAATCTGTATTACTTATCATATGCATATTCCAGGTGATTCTGATATAGACCTGTTTCTTTAGTCAGAATCTCTAGCATTCTGACTGGAATCTAGTCAATGACTCAGTATTAAATTTAGCTATTTGCAAAATTATCTATTTAAACAAAGTTTCCTGTTTTAATTAGGTAAATGGTGGAATAGGCTTATTTGAGTAAATATGGCATATACATACACATAACAAAAATTGCATAATGTAATTTTCCATTCTAACTTTAGTCAACTATTTCTATTCATACAATGATTGTTACATTTCTAAACACGGAAAACTGTGGTCTATGGCCCTATCAGAGTTAATATTACGGGGCTGCTATCTCAACACACTTTCTAAATGTTTTGGGAACTTTTTAGCATCATCAAGAAACCAGATACGATTTCCAGAACTAAAGCTTCAGCTCTTTGCGAGTGCAGCAGCCAAAGTTCAGGTTGAAAAAATTAAAAATAAAAATCGCGCTCTCGCTACCTCACTGCTCTACTAACAAGAGTAGCAGCAGCAGTTGTGTAAGAAGTAACTATGACACCCACTCATTCAGAAGTACTTGCTGAGTGCCTACTTGTGCCAGACACTGTCCTAGTGGTGACCTGATGCTATAGAGGAGAAGCCATCTAGAAGTCAAGGGGACCCAGGGGTAGCAGGAGGCAGAAACAGGATGAAGAACATGGATAGATTATGGCTATAGTCGGAGAGCTTCAACAATGAGCCCCAAATCAGTTACCGCCATGGCCCCCACTGGTGCAATGGTTTGGCAATATTAACACAATAAGCATTCAAGGATACTGAAATTGACGTAAATATTATTAATACAGGTTCTCAGCACAGGTAGGAGTGGACAAATCAGATTCCTTCACTTTCATCCTTAGAGCCCACCCACCGTGTCTGTTGACCTGACTTGATTTTTTATCATCCCACCATGGTGGTGAAGTACAAGTTTCTCTGTTGATACAAAGGATTTTATTGCTAATAAATAGGCTTCTAAAACCCATTTGGTAAAACTAATTCTGTATGAAAAGACGGGCCAATTGTATTTGTCTTACATAACAAAATCAATTGGCTGATAAATAAGACCTACTGGCTCTCACTCTTGAAAATTGTTTTGGTGACATGGTATATACACATTGAGAGATATAGCACCCAAAACATCTGTGCTGGATACCAGAGTCCTGGTGGACAGAAAAAGTCAACAACCACACTGCTCTTTCCTGACCCCAAAAGTGAAAGGTCACTGATTTCAATACATGGAAAAATTTATGTTTCGCCGGCAGTTATTGTCACCACTAGGGGGCAGGCCAAGGGTCTAAGCGAATACCTAAGATTAGTATTAACCGAAACAATATACAATTGTTACTGGAAAAGACTGGCCCACAGAAAGTATTTAATATTTACAACATTAAAGTCTAAGACGAAACAAAGCCTTAACTTCAAAAATAAACTTATACATGTCTCTTTACTTAGTCTTCTTACTGGGTAATTTAGCACAGATATTTTTACAGGCATTATTAAAAATATCTCAGATCTTAAAATCTAAAGGTAATCTTTATAAGTTACAAATATGGACTATAAGTATTTGACCATAAAATGACCTTGAATTAATTTCCCTTCATTCCTGCATTCCATATATATATATATACATATATTCATATATTCCTATCAGATATTATAAAAGTATTCCTTCCTTAGGCACGTAACAAGTTCTGTATAAAATAACCAATGTACTCCAATAAGAAAATAGATCCTTACCTTTTTGAGAACATTATTTTAAATTTTTGACTCATTTTAATATAAGCAGAAGAGAAATCTGCTTACCAATGAAAAAATTAAGTGGCATTTTATTTTTCTGATACATTTTTCAAAGCACAAAATAACTCGATATGGATAAAAACTTAAAAATTATGCTACTAATTATCGGTCTAACCTCAATTCTTATGTTCATAGGTCCAGGCTCTGAAACAAATTTAGGTCTAAAGTCGACTAATTATGAATTTAAAAATACATAATAAAACCTAAAATTAACACACCCACAGTCTTTCTTTGTAATTTATTATTACAAAACACATCATACACTACGAAGAGTCTCGGCTAATGGATATTAATTTTATGCTTTTTGCTTTCCTTGATGAGAAATATTCTTACCAGCAAGAGGAGGGCCAAGAAGAACTGGGCAACACTCCACGATTGTGACGAGTCCCACAGCACTGGAAAACCTTTCAGCACCAACAAGGTCCATGAGAGTTTCAAAGAGGACACTGCTAACGCTCCCAAATCCAAGGCCAAAAAATATAGCATAAAACACCAGGCTTGTGTAGTCCTCTGCCAACGGGCACAAGAGATGACACACTCCAGTGAACATGATCGCAAAGCTGAAGAAATACTGGATTCGGGGTCGGACAAATCTGGAGTTTGCAATTAATCCTACAGAAGGCCTAGCAAACATATCAACAAAAGCCATAACAGACAGCAAGAACGCTGCAGAATACTCATCAATTCCCTTGTCTTTAGCATATGGAGCCAAGAATATAATGGGAGCAAAAAACCCTAGAAACATAATGACATTTCCAGATAAGTATATCAGAAATCCCCTATGCTTAAAAAGAGAGAAATCTAAATATTTATTAATTTTTTCCCATGTTGATTTCTTCTTACGGCTTTTCTTCCCACCTGATTCATCCGCTTTTATGCCAATCTTATTTTTAGACTTGTTAGTAGTTTGTTTGGGTCCAACGGGCCTCATGAGGGACCCAGCCACACAGGCGTTCAGCAATATACCTCCCAAAATCAAGAAGCTTCCTTTCCAGCCAAAAGTATTAAAAAGGTACTGATTGAAAGGAGCCAATGTACTTAAGAACACAGGACTTCCTGCCATGGCAAGCCCATTCGCCATGGGTCGTTTCTTATAGAAGTATTTGCCAATGATTGTTAAGGCCGGTTGCAGGTTGAAGGCTAGACCCAAACCTAAAAAGAACAAAACAAAAGGAAGAAAAACACAAACACATTATGCCACTCACAAAAGAAATTACTATTCGAAACATACATTCAAGTGGGTAAGGCAGAACTGAAAATGCAACAGCAGGCAGTAATTTTTGATAATTACAAATATTAATAGAATTCCACATTAACAAAAGGGTTCTCATAACCAGACACGATATGTGTGACAGTTTCATATTCCTTTCATTGTAAAGCACAACAATAAAACCAAGAACTTCCACTGAAGTTTCAATAATCATAGAACAGGTTGAAACTATGATAAAATTATTGGTTCCGATAAATTAATCTCTCTATATTTATGTACACGTATATAGAATAGATTTCTTCCTTGTGGACAGGAGCGCATTTAAAATGTGAATACTTTCTTTTCAGAGTTGAAGAAATGTGAACAGACTAAACAAGTTGTCATTTATAAACAATCTGATGTCTCCCCAGAGATATTTCTTTCAAAATCATGCAAATAGTAAAAAACAGTAATAAATTCATGCTGTTAATTTCATGGTTTACATCCCTCACATTCCATATTTCATAAATATAGATGTACATGTGTGTTAACTAAAAAATAAATTTTTTTTGATTGAAACATATTCTTATTTCAGGGATTAAAGCTAATTGTTTATATGAGTCAAACGTTTATACTGTCTAGGGAGTTCCTTGGCAGTGTTGAGTATCGCCTTTGAGAAATGAATTACTTCCTAGAGCTGGCCAAAGGACTATGTAGCAATAGTAATGAATGTTTTTTTAAGAAGTACATAAAATTGATTTATATAAACTACCTCTCTTTTCTGCTTAGCTTAGGCATTATTCTATATTATTTTAGAGGCTATAGAAGTAAGAATTCTGCATTTACTAATTGACATAAATTGGACAATACTGCAAAGCAGTTAGGTATTTAGATTCTGGGACACTCAGTTCTGAGTACAAATACTTATTCCAAACCTTTAATAGAAATATTTTCTATGAGTAAAAGAGTCCCTAAAAGTTGACATGAAAGAACCAAAAACATGCTTTGGAAAGTAACAGGCTAGTATGCTCTCTGATTCTACCTCTGCCCTACCTGTGAGATATGCAGAATAAGTATAATTAGATACAACTTATAAATAATAAAACTGACCAGTCTATGATCAAGTGGCTTGTAAGTGGAGGAACCTAAGTTAAAACCCAGGAATTGTGTGTCAAAGTTCAAATTTCTTTATTTATTATTTTTTTATTTATTATTTTTTTTAATTTTTTGTTTATTGCAGTAACATTGGTTTATGACATTGTAAAAATTTCAGGTGTACATCATTATACTTCTATTTCTGCATAGATTACATCATGTTCACCACCAAAATACTAATTACAACCCATCACCACACACATGTAC